CCCCCCGGGCACCCTCCTCCTGCCCTGGCGGGAACTCCAGTGCTGTTTCTTAGATCCAGCCCTGGGCTCTGCAGCCAGCCTGGGGCTCCTTCCCTGAGGAGGTCCCAGGTGTGGCCAGCACTGACCAGGTCTCTCTCCTCCTCCTCCTCTCCCCTGTCTGCCCCCTGCCCAAAGATGGCCCTCCTGGAGAAGAAGCGGCAGCTGACAGCACAGCTGGAGGATGCCAAGGAGCTGCAGGAGCACGTGGCTCAGCGGGAGCAGCTCGTCTCTGCCAGCGTCTCGCGCTGCCTGGCGCCCGAGCAACTGCAAGACTACCAGCACTTTGTGCGCATGAAGTCCGCCCTGGCGATCCAGCAGCGGCAGCTGGACGATAAGGTCAAGCTGGGCGAGGAGCAGCTGCGTTGTCTCTGGGAGAGCCTGCCTCGGAGGCCCCGGAAGCCCTAGAGGAACCGGGATCCCCCTGGTTGGCAGGAGGGCTGGCTGCAAACGGAAAGAGACGGTGCCTTTTGCCAAAGAACTGCGTCTGCCCCCTGCCCTCTCTGGCCAAGGAAGGTCGCCCACATGCCTTCGTGGCCCCCTGCAGTTAGGATCAAGAAAAGATGGAATCCTGCGTCACTGGAATGAGGAGGCAGGGAGGGGTCTTGGCAGCCTCTCCTCAAACCACCCGGCTGGCCAGATGAGGAGACCCCGTCCCTTCCAGGGGCCACGCAGCCTCGCCTGGACAAAGTCTCCCGCTCATAATACTTTCTGAGCTCCACTGCGGGGACTCGCCCGCTGCTCACCTTAAGTGCCTACAAGCCTCAAAGGGGCCTTTTCTGCCCGTGCAGGTTATTTATTTTTTGCTGTTGCTATGTTAAGAGTTTCTTCCCAAGTATACCTGGGTCAGATGAGAGCCGGGTGGCCGAGAGCATGGCACGGGCTGTTTCAGAGCCTGTGTGTCCACAGCGGCTCCCCCGGAGAGTCCTGCCTTGGCCCAAGGAGCCCAGCCAGTGGCATCACATCTTCGTTGGGTCCTGCCCGTATCCCAACTAAGCCTGCTGCTTCAGTCTTCCCGTGGAGGGGAGCGGTCAGGCCTGAGTGGGCTCAGGTGGCTGCTGTCCGGTGGCAAAACTCTGGCAGGGAGATCGCGCGGGAGATGCCCCCCAGCAGCAGGTGAGGATCAGGCCTGGGAAAGTTTTGCAGTGGTGTCTGGTCAGAGACCTAAGCCAGCGATGGTGGAGGGACAGCAGGCATCTGCCCCAAGCCTGCCTTTCTCAGGAGCTGGCTGCCTTAATTTATCCACGGGATCAGCGGGCAATCCAGCCCCCGTTACCAGCTCTCCCCCTCGGTCCTGGCCAGACAGCCCTGCCCTAGGCGAGGGTCTCCCTTCCATCTTCCTAGCATGGCCTCAAGCTGAAATCCCCTGGCAAGGACTTGGGGGGGCGGAGGGACTGGATAACAAGGGCTTCTCTTCCTAACCTCTCCTGTCTCCGCAGCAGAGGAATGTCTTGGGCTCCTGCCATGGCTATTGTGACCCTCACATCCTCTTCCTCTCCATTGTCCTTGGCCCAGTGCAGGAAGCCAAAGTCTGCCTGGCTTAACCTCTGCAATGCGGGGCTGCCTGCAACTCACCCTGACCCGTTCTCGCTTCGAGGAAGGGGAATAAGAGCCGGGCCAGGCTGCCATCGCATTCCGGGCCCGGAGAGGAGTGAAAAATCCCACTGCCTGGGCTCCCAACAAGGAGGATGGCTTGTTCCTCTCTAACCCTCCAAGGGGGAGACATGGTTTTTCCGGAGTAGGTTCTGAACCTCTAAAGCTGGGGCGGCAGCTCCTGAAGGCTCCAGGAGGGGACAAGGTGGCCAAGCTGAAGCCGGGGGTCCAGCCCACTTGGCCTTTGATTGTTTCCCACCTTGGGCTCCTAAGGGGGGACTTGCCACCCTTCCTCTGAAGGGTTGAGCCGGCCTTTGTTCTTCTTTTGGGAAATCTGGGCTTGCCCATTGGCACCTTCTGGAAAAGTACTCGGATAGGTCAGCCCATAATCGCCAACAGGTCCCTTGGGAATTGCTCTTGGCTTCTGCTTTAGCCTCTGCTGGTCCTGGAAGGGCCCTGGGAGTGGGTGCGAGTCCACCGTTTTGGAAGCTGGAGCAGGGAAGGCAGCAGCCAAAGTCGCAAGTCAGCCCTCTTTCTGCTTTTCCCAGGTAGATCTTGGGAATCCACCCTGTCTTCTCCAGTCTGACCTCCTGCTGCCTGCTCTCCCTCCCCTCTCCGCAGGTATTTCTGGCTTGCTTGAGACCAAAGCCTTTTGCGGGGAGTTGGCTGTAAAAAGCATGGCGCATTTATGCGCGCTGAAAAGAGGTCACTTTGCCCAGTGACTCTCCAGGCCCAGCTTCTGGCTGTCCAACGCAGGCTCTGCGTTAAGTGGGAAGGAGCTCTGTGGGGGACCTTGGTGATTACCAGCTTCCTCATCCTCTTCCCCGTCTCCCACCTGCATCTCCCCTGTATTTGTTGGTAGGAAGAAGATTGTTCCCTGCCCATTTCTGCCCCTCTCTCTGCCTGGCTTGCTCTGAGCAGCTGCTCTGCCCAAGCAGCCCCTCCTCAGCGCAGGTGGAACCCAAGTGCCAGCTCTGGAGGCATGTTGCTATGTGATTAAATGCTTTGAGTTGCCGGCTGTTATTTTGTGCTTCCTACACACCAAAGAACCTATGGTTCCTGTCCAACATTTCCACAGCAAGATCTCCTCAGTTGTGTTTCCAAAGGTGTTTTGACACCTCCAGCAGCTTGTGCCTTGGCTACGGGTGCAATTATGGGAATTGGGGGGGGGGGGAAGGCAGAATCACGTGTTGCATTAAACTGGTGCTAACTGGGTCCCCAGCTCTTGTGTGGCTTCTGTTCCGTGGGGGGGG